GCCACTGTTGCATCTAGCTTTCTCCCTGGCAAATTTAAGAGGAGCCTTTATTTCATCCAACATGTACAGATTGAACCAATATATTCTGGGCATTTTCTAGATGCTGTGGATAAAACATCTAGTGAGCAACACAAGACCCTTACAGTAAGGGAGCTTAGAATCTAGCATTAAGTAGAACAGGTAAAAATCACATGTAAAACTAAATGAGATCATCTTGGATAGTGATACACAGTCACATAAAAAGGGAACATGATAAAGTAATTAAATAATAGAGAGATGGAGGGACCTACATCTAGACTGTGTGGTCAGGAAGAATTATCTCTTAGGAGACACTTGCCCTGAGGCTGGATTTAGAATCCACTGAAAGATTTTTATCTAAGGGTGTGAAACAATCCAATTTGCAGTTTCAAAAGATCAGTCTGGCTGCTGTGTAGAGAATGCCTTACAGAGGTTTCAAGATTATAAGCAGAAAGACCAGTTGTTGCCTACCTCCAGGAGAGAGGAGGTATAGCCTGAATCAGGATGGTAGGAATGAAAGTAGAGGAGACACATTGTCTACATATAAGAAAATATGGCAGGACTTGGAAAGAAATGGATGAATAAAGGATAGCTCCTGACTACTGTTTGGGTCTTGCTAACATTTTTTGAATTGGAGAAGACTAGGGACAAATGTGTTTTGGAATATAAATCAAGAATTCTACTTTCATCATGGTGAGTTTGAGATACCGCCTAGACAGGAACATAGAGAGTTAAGTAGGCAATTGGATATGCAATTCCTAAATGCAATAGAGAGATCAGAGTTGGAGACAAATATTTAGAAGTCAGTGAAACTATAGGCGGTATTTAAACCAAAGGGTGGATGTCACCCAGAATGAGACTACAGAGCAAAGCAGGTGAATAGGATTGAACCCCAGGGTATTCCAAATTTAGAGGCCAAGTAGCAGAGGTAGAATGGCCAAAGGAGAGGGGGAAGAAGTCTTTAGGCAGGCAAGAGGAAAACACCGAAAGAGTCATGTCACACAAAGGAAAGTGAGGGTCTAAATAAAGAAGGCATATTCAACTTAAATGCCACCGAGAGGCTGAATTGGATGAACACAGACAAGTGGCCATTATATTTGACAACACAAAGGTGACCCTAACAGGCGCAGCAGAGAACATAAGCCAACGTGGAATGTGTTGTAACAGAGAATAGGAGGCAATGAGGACAGTGAATATAGAATCATATTTTCAAGAAGGTTTTGTTCAAGGGGGAGATGTGTGACAGTAACTGAAGAGAAATGTAATATCAGGGATCTATAGAGTTTTTTAGATATATGTTTAAAATTTTTTTTTTAAAGATGTAGAGTATTATTAGAGCACGGTCTTGTTTCCTAGAGAAACTACCCAGTAAAAAGGAGTAGGCTGATGACTATAACAGTTAACTTATTGTCTCTCAGCTCCAAACTCACCCTTCAATATGTTCTCTGAAATAATGGACCGAATTCTCTTAAGCATCTCTCCTGCACATTGTCAAACGTTCTCAGTACAGGGCACTGGAGGGACATTAGAGGAGGAAGGAGCTATGCTGCTATGTCCAATGGCTCTGCAGTGGGTTGGTGTTGTGGGTATGGGGCTATCTGGTGGAGCTCCTCCCGTCTAACCTGTCCATCATTTGGTGACCTTGCAGCCTTGTCCTGGACTAGTGATAATCTTCCCTGGCCTTTGCAACAGGGAAAAGTCACTACAAATCTTCCTGCCTGTGAAGTCCTCCTGTTTGCTTGGGCACCCATTCCCTCGGCAGGCCTTCTGCAGAGTTTGCCTGCGTCCCAAGTCCCCGCCCCCTCGGCATGCCCGTGCCCCTGCTTGCCAATCACCTGCACCCTGCCCACACCACAGAGGATGTTTTTTGCTTGCCCAGCAACTGCACACCAGCTGTGGCCTGGGCCAACCATCAACCTCTGCTACTTTCACCAACATGGTCTGACCCTTTGCCTTGGGAGGGCCCCTTCCATGTTGCTCCTTCCTTGGATTCCCTCCCTCTACCATAAGTGTACCATATGGTTTCCTTATATATTACAATCACTCCTTTATCAAGGGTTTAATAATTCTATGAGACTTCCTTGGTTTAGTTCAGTGTGGTTTCTCCCTTCTTTTTTTTTTTTTAAAGATTTTATTTATTTATTTGAGAGAGAGAGAATGAGAGAGAGCGAACACAAGAGGGGGGAGTGGGAGAGGGAGAAGCAGACTCCCCGCCGAGCAGGGAGCCTGATGCGGGACTCGATCCAGGGACTCCAGGATCATGACCTGAGCCGAAGGCAGTCGCTTAACCAACTGAGCCACCCAGGCGCCCTACAGTGTGGTTTCTACCTTCTAATTGGATCCAGAGTGATACAATGATGAGAAACCATAACTGTGGGAATTCAGCAATACCTGGTACATAATATACCAGTTTTTGAAACATTCTCCTTGGCAAGATCCTCATTTATGTAATTAAAAAACACTCACCTTCTTAGTTTCTTCTCAGTATATTTTTTAACATCATTGCCTCTTGATAATGGTTTTCCTTGGAAATATTTACCTTTGTTTCTTTTAGGAGTATTTATCCATCTGTAAGAATCCATCCTGCCCAAAAGGCTGAGTGCCAGGTGTTTTCACTTTTTCCTCCTATTAGAAAACCAACTTGCATTTGCTGTGTACACACTTGGCAATCATCTCAGATGGGAAATGACCACACCAAATGTCAAGGAGACATAGAGACTGTTACTTCTGTGTTTATGATGATTCAGTTTTTGGAAGAACCAGAAGTGCCAACTCCTGAGAGCTATTCTGAATGTATTACCCTATCTGAGCCTATACTTTCTCTTAGGATTTATACATTTATACATCTCTTGGGATATATAAAAACATATTTTTCTTTCTTTTCTTAAAAACTGTAGGACACATTCTAATTTTTAGTCTCTGTTCTAAAATTATAGCCCTCTGTGTCTTTTTAAAAAATCTGTCCCTTTAGCAAGACCTCCAATACCCCTTTATCCATTCTCACCCCAGTTGAAGAGTGGTCATGGAAAGTCACTTCATTAACAGAACACATGCTGTGCTGGGTTTCCTTGGTTTCACAACTCTTGTTCATTCTGACCTTAGCAACGACAAGAGTCTATAGTGATGCCCAGGTTCAGGTAACCAGTCCCTCCCTCCCTTGCATTCTCCTCCTCTTATTCTCCCGCTCCTTCTATTTTCTCCTCCCTCGACTGCCTTCCCATTGTAATTAGGATAAAATTCAAACTCCTTGCCATAGGCTACACAGGCCATACATGATCTGGCCCCTGCCTTCCTCTAATTTCTCCCTCCATATTTCCTGCATTGACAATACTCCAGGCATAATGATCTCCTGTTCCTTAAATAAACCAAGCCCCATCATATCTCAGAGGTTTTGCAATTGTCATTTTTTTCTGTCCCTGCTTTCTCTCATGGATGACTCCTTTCCACTAGTTTGATCTCATTTGAAATGCCTTCCTCTCTGGGATGCCTTCTCAACTATAATTGTCACCTCCATCACCAGCATGCCATCACTGTCCACTATATTACATCATATACTTTGTTGATACTACTTTAGCAGGTTGGAATTTATATCTTTATCTTTTTCATTACAGTGTAAATTCTTTGATGGCAGAGAATTCATGTGTCTTTTTGACCACTTTCTCTCTCAAGACTAGAACAGTTCCTGGCACATAATATTTTTTGACCATCTGAATGTTTACTGGGCACTGAACCATGAACATGGCAAATAAGTAGAAAATTATCCCTTACCCAGAGGAAACTGGGTAAATAGATTATGTTTCTATTATAATTGTTCTTTCTTAGAAGCATCAAGAGTAGGCCAGAGGCCCAGTGGTATCTGGGGCATGGTTTAGAGTGGAAAATTAAGGAAGAATAGGATGCCAAATTGTTTTATAATAATTATACTGCCCCTTTCAACTGAAATTCTATCAATAATTCTTGTTTGGTCAAGTTTTGGGAAGGTCTGTTAAAATGCAAGAGAAAGAGGTTAAAATGTTAACCTACATGTGTAGATTAGAGAAACCAATGTTGTTGATTATCCATGATTTTCCAACATGTTTTAAGCAGTGGAGCTTTCTTCAAGTCAAAAGCCCTCCCACAAGTTCAACACACCTATAAGTTAACCTGGCTGATAGCTTGCTGAAATGGTGAGGCAGAACTTGTACCCTGCCCACCAGGCACCTGTTCTAAGTCCTGCCCTGCAGGCGATACCTGAAGTACCACCTACAGCACCCAGATCTGCACAGAGCAAGGTTTGAAAAAAATCACAAGTCTTAGACTGATTCCTTAAGTTGGGAAATAGGCCCAGAGGTCTGAAGTGCTTTATCCAAAGTTGTAAAATCACTGTCAACAAAAGGACTGAAGCTCAGCTTCTTGAATTCTAGGGAACTGTGTCTTTACCTGTATTGTTCTATATTCCTGGAGGATAAATTCTATCAAATCAGATTAGCTTCCAGCAGTGGGAGTTCTTACAGGGAGAGAAAAGTCAGAGGTTTTCAGTATCCAGGGAGCCTTGCTTAGAACTTTGTTGCTCCTCTAGGACTGCAGACATGGAGAACTGCCTTACAGGACTTCTCTTGCCACTTGGAAATCATCTTGAGCTTGTCTTTAGCAGAAATAAGAAAATGGGACTGCTTTCTCCAAATATTTTAAAATAACTTTATTGCACTGGATTTCCACGAATCAGAGACAACTTTTAACCATTAGGTGTCTTGACTTCTCATTTGTGAAGAGTAGCAGGACTCTGATCAAGAAGTGTAGGTCCTTTTCATGGGCACTTTTAGTTTTTATTCTTAAGTGGAGGCCCAATTAGAAATATTTGGTTGAATTGGTGGTTTATGGATTAGCCATAGTGCAGATTCTCTCATGCTAATTGGGAGTTCAGAGCCAAACACAGGAACTGGCATGATAGCAAACACTTTATAAATGTTTTTAATTAAGTGAATGGATTTCAGAGGTGTTATCTAGCAAATATAGTTTAGCAATATACTAACTTGATTTCTGACTACAGATTGAGGTGGGTGGACATTATTTGTGCCATATGCAATTGTTATATCCCAGGCATCAATGATGCCCACATTGAGGTCTTGAAAAATATCCTTAATGGCAAGATACTGGACATAACCATGAAAGTCACTGAATCTTTCCACATCACCGTGCATCTCCCTGATGTTTTCTGTCTTGATAATAACCATAGTGTCTGGGCTTCTCAGAAGAAGACGCTGAACAGCTTTGTGGATATTGAGGGTCCTTCGGATAAAAACATCAATGGGGAAGGGTCTGAAATGCTGGCCCAGAGAAATTACAATGATGATGTTTTTTCCTCCTCCGGTTCTGTCAATGACTCGTGCAATGTACTCAATTTCTTTCACTGAATAGCTCAATGAGCCAACCAAAGGGTAACCATGTTTTTGCCACTGGATGTTGATATTCTCGTCCAAGTCCACAGCAAGTTGGTGTTGAAGTTTTCCAGATTCATGTAGATCCACTGACTTCAGTGCTGATGACAAATAGGCAATCCCAAAATGAAACAAGTATAAAGTTATAAAGATCATAAAGACAGAAGAAAAGGTTTGGTGTTTACAATAAGTTAATCATGACTGATTATAGGCTTAAATGAAGGAACAGTTGTGAAAATTATTTGAACAATCCAAAGTGTTCTACAGATAAGGAGTTATATATGCTCCCTTGTAGAATCATGTAGAAGCAAACTGACTGGGGATGGTAATCACTGAAGTAACTTCATTGGAGCATGATGTAGTTAACTTTTTAGGGATTATTTTTGTACATCTTGTGAGCTGTAGATTAAGCTTGAGGATAGAGAAAGTACTAATTAGTGTTTTTACATTTAAAAAAAACCGAGTAAACCTATTTCTCCAAATACTCTAAGTTTCCTTAAGACTGGAATTATATACATATAAAAATATATATTTATATATATAAAATATATATTTTTATATAAAAATATATATATATTTAATATATATATTTTATATATATATAAAAATACATATTTTATATATAAATATATATATATTTATATTTAAGATTTTATTCATTTATCAGAGAGAGAGAGTGAGTGAGCACAAGCAGGAGGAGGGGCAGGCAGAGGGAGAAGCAGGCTCCCCTCTGAGCAGGAAGCCCAATGGGGGACTCCATCCCAGGACCCTGGGATCATGACCTGAGCCACTCAGGCATCCCTGGAATTATATTCTATACTTTTGTGTTTCCTTTTCATATGCTTAGAATGTTACTGAGCATCTCATCTATAATAGTATTACTATTCATTTGTGAAGGGCTTCATAGTTTACAAAGCATTTATTTAGATATATTCATACACCTCAAATCATGCTCCTCTCCCTCTACACACACACACACACACACACACACACACACACACACACACAGTAGTCCCCCTTATCCATTCAGGATACATTCTAAGAGCCCCAGTGGATGTCTGAAAGTGCAGATAGCAATATATATATATATATATATATACACACACACACACACATATATACACACACACACTATATATATATGGTGTGTGTGTGTATATATAGGGTATATATATGTATAGTGTGTATATATATATAGGGTGGCTCCATTTCCTATACATACATACTTTATCATAAGTATGTATGTATAGGAAAAACCATTGTATGTGTGTGTATATATATATGTTTTTTCCTATACATACATACTTATGATAAAGTTTAATTTATAAATCAGAGTAAGAGATTAACAATGAAAATAAAATAGAACAATTATAACGATATACTGCAATAAAGTTATGTAAATGTGATCTCTCTCAAAATATCTTCTTGTATGGGACACATCCTTTTTCTGTGATGATGTGAGATGATAAAATGCCTACATGATGAGATGAAGTGAAGTGAATGATGTAGGCACTGTGACACAGACTGAGGCTACTATTGACCTTCTGACAATATGTCAGGAGGATGATCTGCTTCCAGACTGTCGTTGACAGTAACTCAAACTGTGGAAAGTGAAACCAACTGCTATACACACACACACACACACACACACATACACACACACACGTCATGTTGTAGAAAATCAAGAGATGAAATGACCTGCTCAAGATTACAGAGCTAGTGACAGAATCTGCACCTCGATTTGAAGCTGCTCCCAATTCTTATGAAAACCGTCTACTCAATCTTAGAACCCATGAAAATATGAGTATAATACGAATAGAATAAAATGAAGTCCTTCCACTTTTCATCCTATAAATTAGGCCTTTATCAGACTATCAGGGCCAGCTGCTTTGTAGTTAGAAGTTCTGAGGAAAATATGTAGAAAAGGATTATTAATGCTTTGTAACAAGTGCCATCTTTGAAGTAAAGGGCTACATTTAAAGTTTTCACCCACGGCGTTTGAAAATAGACACTGGAACAGTGGTTGAAGGAAAATGGCAGTATCATTGTCTTCATTCTGCTTCTAATTTACTTCAATTTCCTTTTCCAAAGCCTGCTATAAAATTTAACTTTTAAGAAAATGTGCAACAGACATTTTGCTACAATTTAAAAGGTTAGACAAAGAAGGAAGTAACTCATTAAATTCTGTACTTTCTATAGCCTAAGAGACCCACTGTTATAGAAAGTGATTACCATCGAACCCTGAACTTTATAGATGAGGAAACTGAGGTCTGGAGGAGTTCAGAGGTCATAATTTACAACTCTCCCCCTTTTGTTGGGAATTCTACCTATTTCTTGGAGCCAAGTCCCCTATTTTCTCTTTTTATTGGAAGGATCAGCTGACCTTCTAAGTTTGAGATCACAAGAGTGGCATCATGTCAGAAAGGTCATAATGGAGCCACAGAAGGCGCACTATTCTCAGTGATGACAGCCAGGACCCAGGACCCAGTAGGCAGGCAGTCACAGTTTGCCAGTGAAGAGTGCTAAGATCTACTAGTGAATTCTCTATTATTACTGGTGCATCCTTGGTTTAGTAAATAGAGCAACTGGACTAGGATTCTAGCCACTGGATTCCAGCCCCAACTTGGACATGGGATACAGCTGCAGTAGCTCTTGTTCACTGGGCACTGTGTTAAGTATTTTATAACCATTATCTCATTTGGTCTTCATAACCACCACCAGATAATATTATTTGTAGCTGGATGAGGAAAATGAGGCACAGAAAATAAGTAACACGCCAAAGGCCATAGCTTCTAAGTGCACAGTCTATGTACATTAGACAACACAGCCCATGCTTTTAAGTATTATTTCTAACTGATGCAAAGTCATTGTCTTGCTTCTGGAATCTCTCTTTTCATGTAATGATAATAGGGATGATAGGTTACACCAAAGAGGACTTACCTATGTAACAAACAATTCTAAAGGCATTGTATATATTACTTCATTTTACCATGTGGGTACTATTTTCATCTCAGTTTTACAGATGAAGAAACTTAGAGGGACAGTAGTTATGTAACTTGCCCAAGATTACCCAGATAGGACATGGAGAAGCCAGATTTTGCTCCCAGAGGATCTGGATCTAGAATCCACACCCTTAATAATCATGCCAACCGTAGAAAATGGACAATATAAAATTTTACATTATTTTCAGCTCTTTCAATGATTTTGTGAGCATGCTGGCTACATACTGAGGTATGCACTGGGATAGGGATGTAATAACCTTTCCTACACATGCTCCCTTCCAGTCAGATGAATGTATTTTTTTAAAGGAAAGACAATGATATCTTAAAAAGTTTTGGTGATTAAGAAATATGAAGAAGAGGCATTTCCTATTGTTTCCTTGAAATAAAAAGTAAATTTCTGAAAGGGATATAAATAATATCTTAGACTGAGGCATACTGTTGATACTGTTTTTGAAATATTCCATCCACTGGCGGATCGTGGAATCTCCCATTAGATATATGAATTTTCCTCTTAGGCATTCTTTCATTTTGACTGGAGCCAAACTACAGGAGACAGGATTCCAGGTCTCTTTCCAGACATGTCCACCAGGGATTGTGGATGCCACTCCAAACTTGCATTTCTTTTTCATTGTAACTGTTTTTCCTGCCAAAAAAATCAGCAAGATCTAAAATATCACATATTCATTGGTATTTATTAAGAGCCTACTATCCTTTCTAAGTATCCTCTTAATAGGTCATAACGGAGGTGAAAAACCCTACTGAAGCATCATCCTCTTAATGTAATAGTTATTTTTAGTAGAATTTTTCTCTGATATGGATTTTCTAAATGGTGCCCATTAATGTTTAATATAAGAACATGTTTTCTCCTCTTGTTCCCCCCACCAAAAGAACCCTCTGGGTAAGATTTAAATATTTGAGGGGCACCTGAGTGGCTCAGTCGTTAAGTGTCTGCCTTCAGCTCGGGTCCTGATCCCGGGGTCCTGGAATCGAGCCCCGCATCAGGCTCCCTCCTCAGCAGGAAACCTGCTTCTCCCTCTCCCACTCCCCCTGCTTGTGTTCCCTTTCTCACTGTCTCTCTCTCTCTCTGTCAAAATAAAGAAATAAAATCTTAAAAAAAAAAAATGACTTCCTATGAAAGTAAAGTTACCAATTCTTGCTAGTAATAAAAACTCAATTATTTTATCATTTTAGTCCACTTTACCCCAAGTTTGTCACACTTTGTCATAGTGTCTTAAATGACACCAACAAACTGTAAATTCTTTGAATATAGGGTCCAGGATGGCAGCATAGGAAGACCCTGAACTCACCTCCTCCTATGGACACACTGAATCTACCACTACATATACAACAATTCCCCCTGAAGAACTGAGGGCTGATTGAACAGCTGCTTCACAACAAGTGATATAGGGACTGCATAGAGGAGGGTAAAAAAGATGGAGGCGTGGTAACCACAGGACCTCCACCCCCAGCACAGCAACCTGCATTAGGGAGGGATATCATGGGGGTGCCCACGCACAGACTTGCTTGTCCTGGGGCACAGCAAAAAATAGCTATTTAAAAGGCAACTAGTCTATAAGTGAAGGAAATCCATTTACTCACACTGAATCATCTGCCAAGCAAGTAGGGGAACTACTGAAACTTTCTGGAGTTGGAGATGCTGACAAGTGCCTTTTTTTTTTTTTTTTTTACATTCCCCCTCCACTGTAATAGCATGGATGGGAGCAGAGTCCAGGTGCTGTAGCCAGCTTACTAGGGCTGCCCTAGCAAGTCCTGGGCCTCTAGTTCACGTCAGCTCCAGCTGCCTTTAAGGGCACCACCCTGTCCCAACCCCCCTTCACAGCACCCCCCAGCTCCATCTGTCCTGCCAAGGGGCCCCAGAGTGGCATGCCACAGGATTTCCCCAGGCCATGCCTGACACAGCCATCTGCCCATGTAGCCCAAGCAGCCCTGGCATGGTGTGGACCATGAACTCCCTGGTATGCACCAACTCCAGACTCAGCCATCTTGCAAGGATGGACATAGCAGGATTCCCTGGCCCATGCCCATTCCAGGCCCAGCTATCTCATCAATAACACCCTGAAGACCCCAGGATCCATGCCTGCTCTAGCCCCAGCCATCCCACCAAAACCACCAGGCACACAGTTTACACAGGGGATGCTCCTACCCAAGGTCACTATTTTAAGACTAAGAGAGGTACCTATTCAGCTTAATTCATAGAAAAAACCCCACAAAAAGTCAAGCAAAACAAGGAGCAAAGAATTATGTTCCAAATGAAAAAGCAAAATAAAACCCCAGAAAAAAACCCTAATGAAACAGAGATAACTAATGTACCTGATAAAGAGTTCAAAGTCATGGTTATAAAGATGCTGACCAAAATGGGCAAATGGAGAACTTCAACAAAGAGTTAGAAAATGTAAAAATGAACCAGAGCTAAAGAATACAAACTGAAATGGAAAGTAAACTAGAGTAAATCAACAGTGGATTAGATGAAAGAATGGAACAGCAATCTGGAAGACAGAATAGTGGAAATCACCCAAGCTGAATGGCACAAATACTAACTCTTTTTTTTTGGGGGGGGGCATTTTCAGGAGTAAAATTTAGTGATTCATCACTGACATATAACCCCCAGTGCTCACCCCAACAAGTGCCCTCCTTAATGCCCATCACCTATTTAGTCCATACCTCCCCCCACCACACCTCCCCTCCAGCAACCCTCAGTTTTTTCTCTATAGTTGTCTCTTAACTATAGTTTGGCCTCCCTCTCTGTTTTTATCTTATTTTTCCTTCCCTTCCCCTATGTTCATCTGTTTTGTTTCCTATATTCCACATATGAGTGAAATCCTATGATGTCTGTCTTTCTTTGATTGACTTATTTCGCTTAGCATAATACCCTTTAGCTCCATCCACATTGTTGCAAATGCCAAGATTTCATTCTTTTTGATCACTGAGTAATATTCCAGTGTGTGTGTGTGTGTATGTTATATATGTTATATATAGATACACACACACCACATCTTCTTTACTCATTCATCAATCAATGGACATTTGGGCTCTTTCCATGATTTGGTTATTATTGATAGTAATGCTGTAAGCATTGGGCTGCATGTGCCCCTTAGAATCAGCATTTTTTTTTATCCTTTGGATAAATACCTAGTAGTGCAATTGCTGGGCTGTAGGGTAGTTCTATTTTTAACTTCCTGAGGAACCTCCATACTATTTTCCAGAGTGTCTGCACTACTTTACATTCCCACCAACAGTGCAAAAGAGTTACCTTTTCTCCACATTCTTGCCAACACCTGTTATTTCCTGACTTGTTAATTTTAGCCATTCTGACAGGTGTGGGTGGTATCTCATTGTGGTTTTGATTTGTATTTCCCTCATGATGAATGATGTTGAGCATCTTTTTCTGTGTCTGTTGGACATCTGGATGTCTTCTCTGGAAAAGTGTCTATTCATGTCTTCTACTCATTTCTTAACTGGATTATTTGTTTTTTTGGGTGTTGAGTTTGATATGATCCTTTCAATAGATACAGAAAAAGTATTTGACAAAATACAGTATCCTTACTTGATAAAATTCCTCAAGAAAGTAGGGATAGAAGAAAGATACCTCAACATCATAAAATAAATTTAAAAAATAAAAAAAATACATAAGAAGAGTCCAAGGTAGCCATGGAATAACATCAAGAATACTAATATTTAAGCCAAACTGTGGAAAGAGCCAAGATGTCCATCGACAGATGAATGGATAAAGAAGATGTGGTGTATATATACCATGGCATATTATGCAGCCATCAAAAGGAATGAGATCATGTCATTTGCAACGA